CCACAAACCAAAAAGGCAAGTGGTAAAACATATAGAGGAAAAATAAATAAGGTAGAAAAACCATATTAGGTTAATATGCATATACATTCGAGTATCCATACTCAAATATATATACACATATTAAGATATTATCATATGCTTCTTGCAAATTACCCTTTTGCTTAAGGTCTAAAATTCATGAAGTCGCAATGCAGAAAGGCTCAACGGACAAAAGAGACCTCCTTCGTTCCTTGCACCCATTTATCCAACCGTCGTGTCCTTTGACTATTGTTTGGGCTTGAATTTGGGTTTTTGTGTTTGGTCCAAAAGCTTCAACGTTAGTGGGCTTCCAATAGTAGTCACATGTGTTGAAACAAGCGGCTCCTACAGTGTCGTCCACCGTGGAAGGCGGTTTAGTTGACCGAGCGAGCTGGGCCACTCTTGGCCTCGGTGGTAGAGAGTGAACTACCGGAGGCGAGAGATCGGATTTGGTATCGAATTCGTTGGTCACGGGCCATCCCAAGTTTCTTTTCGGTACTCCGATGGCCTTATGGGCCAACCTATGAACAGTTATAGGCCCAATGGGCTTTTGAGCCAGCTTATAAAGAAGTCCCTTGGGCTTGTAAGCGAACTCTTCTTCTTCCCCCTCTTCCTCGTCGAACCACTGAACCTCCGAAACAATCTCATCGTCGATGTCAATTTTGTCACTTGATTCCTCACTGATTTCTGCAAAAGTTAGCAGGAGACGTCCGTCTTGGCGCTTGGCGGAGAAGTTGTTGTGCGACGGCATAGAGACAGCTTCGAGAACCAATCGGCCATTGTCACGGCGAGTTTTCATGTGCAGAGACAAGCCTGATTGGCTCGAGAGAGAACGAATCGGAGGAGGAAAAGATCCTCGAGGCAATTCGATGGAGTTTGAAACCGTGATCGATTCTTGCTCAACCTCAGCTTCAACCTCTGTTACTTGTTCTTCTTCCTTGATCTCTGTCACGTTGAGAACGAGATTCGTCTCCTCCTGGTTAGTGATTTCCTTCTCGATCTCAGAATCTCCAGTCTCCGATGATGCATACGAAGAGAACCCTTCGCAACCCGTCTCGGATCCGAGACTCTCAGTGCAAATTTCGAGGCTTTTCTCGCTCAATGAACTCGCGCGTTTCATTAACGGGTGAACGTACGGTGGAGGAACCGTGTCGTTGCTCGATTCCGTCTTCTTCTTCTCCGACAAAATCGAGCTCCACACATCGGATTGTCCAGGCTCGATCTCGTCTTCCTTCTTATTGTTCTTGTCTTGTTGAATCTGAGCCCAAATGTCGGACCCAGAACTTGATCCTTCTTCCTCTGTTTCCTCGTCGGAGCTGAGTGAGCCAGTACCAAAGGCACGGAGCTTCTCCGATGAAGAAACTCTCTTCATCGGAGAAAACCCATTCTGCGAAACCCAATTCTTGGAGGACAAATCAGCAGAGAAGGTCCTCCTTAGTGAAGGTGCAGACAAAGTGTTCGACGAAATGTCAGAGTCACTACCACCAAGGATCGTCACTATGCCTTGCTGCTTCTTCAAGGAGGAAGTCAAGCCAAGGCTCTTGCTTAAGCCACAAGCCATCATCTCAAAAGAATCTCAACACTTGTTTTCCTGCACAATTTAACAATCTGAATGTTAACAACATTACAACCAAGTGAAGAGATGAAATTAGCTCTTTTCTTATTACAACCAAGTGAACATACCTGGAGATTCTGAGAAAAGAAATCAAAACAGTGGGTGAAAATTGAAGTGTGTTCTTAAGAGAAGATGATGCTTTTGTGGTTTTTGATGGATGAGAATGAGACATGAAGAGAGGGGGAGTGAAGAGGTGCTTTATATAGAGCTTCTTCCATTATGGAACCATGTACTGTGGGGTCCTCCATCAAATAACTCTTTTAATTGCCTT